GCAAGAGGTTGTCGACGGATATAATAGGTCCGTATAGATCCGTGGCAATTCGTTCTTCTCCGTATTAATTCGTTCTTCTCCGTATCAGACCGTACTTATTCGTACTAACCCGTGCTTATACCGTAGCAGACCGTAGTGTATCCGTAGTACGTCCGTCCTGATTCGTGTCGCTCCGTATCAAACCGTGTCGATCCGTAACAATCCGTGTCTCTCCCGGGGCTTTTGGAGGTAAATCCGTCAAACTCCGTACTCATACCGTTGTGTGTCCGTACTGGAACCGTAGCGGACTACGGAATTTCACATTTCCGTAGTAATCCGTAAACAATTAGACCGTAGCTCTTCCGTGGCATTATCCGTGAATATGTGACCGGGGCTTTAATAACAACACTTATTGATTGGATTCTCACAATTACAATGAAACCTGTAAATAAAGGTCATCCAAATGAGGGACCAAATATGTTCTTCATGTACAATATGTATGTATTGTCTTTAATTGAAAGTTATTCTTTTCAATTCAATCACTGACAGTTTGTAAAAAAAGTGGCTCTTATTAACGGGGTTATCTTTATTAGGAAGTTGTCTTTGAATACAGAGTTGACTGTATTTGAAATGTCATTTTCATCAAGAAGGTGTCAATCTTGCTGTATAATTTTTTATATGCAGGTACATTTATCTCACAAAGTCAGATGACATTTCTTGCATTTGAGATTGGATTTTTTAGTGTCTGCTTATGTACTGGGAAATAACATTTTATATCCTCAATGTTAAAGAAGAGTCTCATACTTTAAAATGATGTCATTCCATCACTATTATGAATGAGGAGAACATATAGGATCACTTTGTTAAGCCCTTATGAATGAAGCTGTAAATTCATATGCTTTTATAAGTTTGAATTAATATCTACCGCCATATGATACAAATCACTTGACTCCATATGTAGTAGTATTATATACCTCAGAATATGAATGAAAATGAACTTGGTTTTTACATATTCTGATAAAAAGCCCACAAAATCAAGCAATGTCAAACAAAATAGCTCTTATTATAAAGGACATCCTTTTGAGATATAATGACATTTAAGTATTATTATGTTATTATGTAATGTCATTTGGTTATTCATATAAAGTATGGTTTCTAAAAGAATTACAACCTTAAGTTTCATTGTGTAATGAACACATATTGTAAATTTTTGTTCAAATAATCAATTTATTGAATCCGATTAGATCAATATTGAACATAAATTAAATATTATTTGACAATGCTTATTGTAAGCATACATGCATAATAAAAGATCTTACACAAAAAATCCATGGATATTACTTTTTAAAGATCCTAATTAAATTAAAAATATTATAATTATAAGATAATTGTGTAGTTCAAATGGTGATCTTACAAAAGGGAGGTAACTTTGCTTGTTCCAAAAGTTTTGCTTTACAAACTGTCTAGAATAAAAAAAAAGGACCATCAGGCGATTATGACGTCTTAACATATCAGATTCACCATGCCCTTATCAATAAACATTCATGACATTTTTGATTTTGTTTCTAGATGCATATTTTTCTGGGAAAAAAAAGAAGAAAGTATGGCTTCTTCTAACATACAAAGGTCCATAGTTTATTAATTCAGTACAAACTTTGATTTAATTCAATGTGAACTGTTTCCTTCTTGAAATACATTATCAATGTCAAATTATATTTTAAATCCAATTATAAATTTACAAAGGACAATAACTCAAAAATAAAGATTCTATATTATTTGCAAAGGGTCATAACTCAGAAATAAACAATCAGATTTTATGATATTTTGCATATAAGATAGGATTTTATTCTATTTCCACCTGAGCTAGAAAATTATTTATACCCTCCACCCTTCCCTAATGTAAGAAAAGACCATTGCTTTAAATGTCATTCCTGAGCACCTTTTGTAAATACATTTAAATCTGTGATTAGGATAACATGATTTCATTGTTAACAGGTGCAGAATGAAAATATGAAGCATATGCATAGTTTGCAAGACAGAGAACCAAACACTGGCCCCTCATGTCTGAAATAATGTACAAAGGGACACATGAGATCTTCCTCCAATTTTAAAAGCTAGGTCACCATAAGACCTATAGAGTGTTGTTGTGACATAAAACCTAACAAAATAACAACACCAAAAAGAAAGGAAAAAAAAACAACAAGAAATTTAAAAAAAAAACAAGAAAAAAAATCATGATTAATATGTTTTGTATGTCAACGATCTCATTAAAATTCTAAGAACTATATTATGGACATGATAATTCGTAACACAAACATCTTGACATAATGAAATAAATTTTATATAATTTAAGTTCTTGTTTGAACTGCTTTACAGCTTTAACAAGTCAAATGAACAGGTATTGAGTTTGGTTAGGCCAGATCATCTTCCTCCAGTAACTTACATTGATTGCTATATTCATAACTCACTGAGTGTTTAAATATTAATAAATTAAATATTAAAGTAACACAATTTAATATTCTATTTATCACATTTCAAAAATAAAGACTGTTTTGAACTGAAAAAGAACCATCTTTCATTGACATGCCTATATTTATATAACGAAAATGATGTAACGTCAAAACATTTGCAAGGCCTTGCGGAGTCGTAAAAGAGGCACGCAGGTATGTGATAAAACAAATTATGTCACTGTCACTGGTATAACTTTCAGTGCAGTTTTTTAAATAAATTATAAATTATCAAAAGGACCACACTGGTACATTTTAAATGCATTATTCAAATGTATACCATAGATACAGCTAGACCTTTTAAAATGTTTTAATTTTTTTCTGGCTGTTAGAGCAGATAGTGAACAACTTGTACCACCAGTAAACTTTGTACTACTAATTGCCTGATTAATTATTTATCATTATCATATAAAAACAAAACATTTTAAAGATTCTATTTTAGACTTTTCTTTGAATGGAGAATAAACTAGATTTTTTTTTAAATTTTTAATGTGACAAAAATAGAATAATTTGATTTTTTAAGAGCTTTATAAATAGATGAATAGAAGTACTTTGATAGTAGTACAAATCATTAATACAAATCATTTTTCTACCTTTTTTTGAATAGTTTTCATGCCTATGAAGGATAAAAGAATATTTAACAAACCCAATTTCAATTAACTGAATGGGATAATAATAATTTGCTATAGCTCTTGCTGTTGCTGCTGCTGGTGATGATTATGATGATGATGATGATGATTGTGATGATGATTGTGATGATGATATATTAGCTTAAATATCACTCAGTAAAAGCAAGATTTTCATCCTAAATGGGTGAAAGATATTTCCGGAAGCAAAGTGAAAATGTATTTCTATATACAGTATTCAGATATCTCTGGTGAAATATCAAACACTTAGTGGTGAAATGATTTATTACATGGTTATATATAACACTGATTATAGCCTGCATTCAACTTTGTATTGACTGGAATTGAGATATGTACTTTTTTCCATGATTTAAAAATTTGTAACTGTCATAATTTTTGTTTAAGAGATTACATTATCATTGTTAAATGGCATGTTAATACTAGCATGGTGGCTTAGAATTGGAATAGGATAACATAAAATTATTTTAGGGGTTATGTTCAGGAAATAAAATAAGATGTGGGTGTAGAAAGCAATTATAGTTATATAAATTTTCATATTTACTTTCTATAAATATAGAAATATAACACCTTGTTACCACTTAAGGTATGAAACACATTCATACAAATTTTAAATAGATGGTATTTGCATCAAATGTCAGCAATAAAGAATATAATGCTTGGTAAGCTAAGTCATCAGTTTATGTAATTTTTTTACCTTTGCACTAGATAATTTATTAAATGCCTTACTTACCATGCTTGAATCATGCAATTAAATTTCATTATATCAAAGAGCTAATCTTTTGAAGCAAAGGTCAGACTGCACAGACATTGTCACATATCAACCAATTTTTCTCATTCTTGGTGAAGAAATACTATCTGTTATGAAATATTAATGAGAAAAGGAATTAAAGCAAGGCTGAGTTACCCTTTGCTACTACAGTATTTGATCCACATAATTTTCCATTTGTCTGACCTATTGACCTATTTTTCACACTTTTCTGTCTTCTGACTTTTTTTAACAGTAATACCTTTTTTAAGCTATAACATTTTAAAAGTAAATGATATCATCCTTATTGTAGTTCAATAACATTTCAGCAAACTCATTTGCAAGTGTGTGTGTGTGTGTTTTTTAATTATTGACCTAGTAACCTAGTTTTTATACTAGATGACCTATATTTAGAAATTTATCCTTGCATATAAAATGGGGCTTGTATCTGGTTACAAATTTAATTGTGAACAGAAAAAATGCAAGGACCAAATAAAAACAAAAATAGGATTTTCACTTTACAAATAACTGAGGTTGTTATATTTTGAAAACTGAATAAAATGTACTACAATCATTTCTTTTAATTTCAAAGGAGAAACACTTTAAACAATGCTTGAATGTCATACAAATTTCTTCTGGGCTTTGTCTCAAATCTCATGATTTTTGTTGGTCTATGCACATTATGTACTGGTTTCTGACCAATCATATACCCAAGATTTTTTAGTCTGGGCTTACAAAATTTCCTTGTTACATCAGACACAGCTTTTAAAATTTCTCAAATACAGTGTTTATGGAATATCACTATAGCTTGTTTGTTTGGTAGATTTTAAGTCATACTGCCACTGCAAAGGACAAACTGCAACTTTACCGGGGGGGGGGGGGGGGGGGATGAAAACCTCAGGTGCTATTTCAGGCATATATGGCACCTGAGTATAACCACCAACCTTCTGTAAGCTAGCTGGATTTACATGAATGAATTTATGGTCCCAAATGGGATTTGAATCCAGAGCATAGAGGGGCAAGTGATTTGAAATCAGTGACCTTAACCACTCAGCCATGAAAGCCCTACTTAAAGCTGGTATAACATTGAGGTACTAATATAGTTCATGTCACAAAACTTACCTGTCTTATACATGAAAGTCTATCGCATGTTTGTTTAATATGCCTATCCATATCAGTCATGGTTCTTTCATCATGCTGTGCATGGGCATTCCCCTGCTGATGTCAATGTTACATCTCAATGGTCAGTTTCTCATTCTAAACTATAAAAGTCTCTTCTAGCACTGTTGAATGTCAGTGTCACTCCTACAGATTTAAAAGTCTATGTCACAAGGACTTGGTAACTTCAAAACTGCTAAAGTGCCACATATTAATGTCACACATAGTGCTTACATGTCACAAAATGTTTTCACCTTTTTAGTTATCTAGAAAAGAAAATGTCCGGAAAAAAAGGATTTACTGTTGTTGTTTTTTCAACTGTATTTTAATAAGTATTCTTTTGTCACACTGGCCAATGAAACATCAGTTCTTAAATATTCTATCCAATCAGGGGTCAGCTTTGTACCGAATGAAGATGATGGGATCTTTGAAGGCAGCAACAGTTGGGAAAGTCTTTCATCTAAATGTCAACAATAGTGTTATCTGAAAGTAGAAAAAAATACAACATTAATAAAACAAAGGGCTGAGTGCTGTATATATCAGAATGATGTAATTCTAAGTTATGTTCTAGTAATACTGACTGCTTTATGTCAAAAATCAGACAGTCTGTGGAAGTGGGTTAAGATTGCCTGTGGAGTAATATCTAAATAAATAGAGAAGAAAGTAAATTACATGACAAACAATGTATGGAGGAGGAATATGGAACAGTTAAAACAGTTGATTGAACTACAATAGCACATTGAAACATGTTTTATCTGGTATTCTCTTTTCAACTATAAATTACAGTTTGAAAGTGATTATAATAAGTGGTATAGAGCCAATAAAACGTAAGATTAAGATAAGAAAAAAAAAATAAAAACACAATCTTTAAATCATAAACATTTATAAACATAAATTATAGACAAAAGCTGAAGGAAATAAGTTGTTCTAACTGTGATTCAGATATAATTGTAATTGAGGCAATAATTATACTCAATTAAGATTAACATTTTTTTCTGTAGCTATATACTGCCCTTGATAATAATATTTGACTTAATTTTGACTTAATAATTAATCTGTATGTCAATTCTAACAATATAGCTAAGTAGTCTTAATAAGTTACAACATGTTCATCATCCAGTTGTATCCTTAATTATAACGTTATTAGGAATTTTGCAGTGTAATTGTTTAAATATTGGTTGCAGATAATCATTTTGCCTATATATTCAGTGTTGTTCTGGTCCTTCGGGATCATTGATGCCAGCACTATTAAGTGTTGAGAATTGAGTACTGCTCAAGCCAGTGCCAGGGGGCGTGAGGGATGTGGCAGTTATTCAGTATCCTTCATGTACAGACTCAATCAAACCGAATCTGCAATTCTTATGTAATTTTGTTGTGATTAATGCTTCCGAGGGATCACTTTGTTTCCAAATTTTAAAGGAGGTTTATTTAGTACTGCCTTAGGTAATAGGGTTACAAGTTGCCTCTATATAGAGATGGTCTTTTATAATGAAGTTCTAGAAATAACATTCAATAAGTCCTGTAACACAAAAGATGCTTCCAATGTCTAATATACAATTATTTCCTACTGCAGTCATACAAATAAACAAAAACTTGAAATCATAGACAATTATGCTTATTTGCAATCATTTATATAAATCATTATATGATCTTCAACCTATGTCTCAGACAGCACATTTGTTCATATTAATAATATTTCAAATTCCCTATGCAGCACAACTTAAGATAATAATAATATGCCAGTTTTCATCTAAGTTAAAAAAGATTAGGAAAAAAAATCAGCTTAAAATAAAACTTTTGTGTCAACATCATTATGTGAGAGAGGAAAAAAAAAATATATAAACACTTGTATATCATTAAATGTTGTTGAGATTGTTGTAATATTTGGGTCACAGGGAAATAATTACATATCAGTGAATAAATGGTACAATAAAGTAATAACCTGTATATCATTTAAGTGTATAAGCACACTTACGAAACAATTATGATAAATTAACATGAGGTAAAATATGTTAACACTGACAGCTAGAGTGTGAGCAGTCAACAATACCATGTAAATATCATGTAATGAACCAGGTTAAAGCCTGACAGTGAAGTGACAGTTGTGGCGAACACTTATATTCAATTTAAATCCAGACTATGTTATCTTTTAATTTGTCCTCTTGACTGGTTTATTAATTTACACTAGCTGTGATCTTGAGACCCCTGTTACTTATTCACACACGCTGACAGTCGTTTATCATCTTGGACGGAGAAACTTGGTATGAGGTCTTTAATGCAGACCTATGGGTTGGCAGCCTTTAATCTCATTGTTTATATATCAACATTGGATCAATATCAAACAGTTTTCACATTAAAATGTTAATTCATATGTGAACAGTGTGACAACTTTAACACATAATGATTAAAATGATAATTATCTGCCAGATACAGTTATACCCGTACAGACAGACCAAAAATCAGTCCAGGATTATCATGTTATCACTGACATTGTCATTACTTTAACTGGTATTGGGAGACCCCTGACTGTAATGTGAACATTATTGCAGGTACAAACAAACATGTACAAGAGAAGAAAATTAATATCTATCTTCCATTATCTAGTTCGAAAATAATCTAGTCACACAGCACAATTTAATGTCACAGTTAAGAATCAAATCTACAATAGTGAGTGGTTGCTGATGACCTAAAACAATTGGGGAGTGGAGATGCCTGCCTCTCAACCCAAGGATCACGGGTTCGAGCTTTTCTTTGGTCACGACCATGTTTCTTAATATGACATCAGGACTGGTTGGTTACAGGAAGCAGACCCAAAAATGATTAATGAATGTTGCAAAAACATTTTTGCAATCGAGCTTACATTAATATGTTTAAACTCAACTTAAAACAATTAACCTGCCTTTCCCAAAAATTAAGAGATACGTCCAATGACTGAACCTTTAAACTTGTACAAATTTCCATTTGTCGGTAAAAAAAGGGCAGATTAAACTTAATATTATTATGACATGGAAAAATGAACATCAATTTTACAATTATTCACTAGAGGGCTTCTTTAAAGGAGAAAATTTAGCATGAAATTATTTCAATAGATCATATTTTTTGCATCAGATAAGACCATATCCATCCATATATTTTGCTTAATGGTTCATATTAAATCACTTTCCTTGTACGAAATAAAGAAAGAAAAAAAATGTGTGTAAAGTTACTCATTGATGGAGAATGTAACCGTTAGTTTCAAATTTCTTGTCACAAATCGGTTGCCTTTCAGAGTAGAGAGTTAAGGAAGATCTTATTTATTCATTAAAGTCAATTAACCACAGAAAAAATAGATTGCCCGTCTAGACAAGGTTTTTGCAACTGTAGTTTCTTTTATTATTTGGGCGGGCTATTAAGACTGATGTATATAATATAATGTTTATAGGTCGCTAAATGACATGGTGCATTTTTTTAAAATTTAAATAGATTTAACAACCAATGTAGAGAACATTAAATGAAGATTTTAGTTTTATGCATCGGTTTTGAATAATCAACCTTAGTGACAATATAATGAAACAATACTGATATACAATTAGAGAATGACCACACGCAGAGTTCTAATAAAATGGTATTATGCAACAAAAGTCTGCTTTTTTCATAAAATAGCATATTTTTAAAATACCATGATTTGTTCAAGTCTTAAGAAAAGACTTACTGATCATGTGAAACAAAATTTGTTTAATTCTGGTGAATTCAAACAACAGTGAATGCTTTGATTTGGTCTTATTGTCAAGAAGCAACAATGGAAGAACAAAATAATTCTATAAACACAGAACATTTAAATCTGTTAGCTCTTATTTTTCAGACTGAATGGAGGGGGATGGGGCTGTCTCTGACTCTATACTATGTCACCAGTGCTGCAAATCACATTTGAACAGTTAGCAATACTCTACAAGAGTTACATCATTCTTTTGTACAATAAAAAATGTTTTATAAAATTAGGTTTTATTACATTAGGTTACTGAAAACCCTGAAAAAAGACAACAAAAATTATACAAAGGCTATTTAGCTACATCATTATGTACATCCATAAAGTGGATAAAGTTTAATGTTATGCAACCACAAGTTAGTGAACAGTTTTTTTCCATACATTTTATTATATAAACTTTACAATAGAATGATTCATTTCCTAAGTATGCATGATCTCAACAAATAGTGCATTTTCAATGATGAAAATATTGAAACATCTCTATTATACATAAATATCTGATAATAAGTTTTATATTCTAATTCTGCATTATATGAAAAAGTAAAAAGAAAAGGGAAAATGAAAAAGACACAAGACATTCACAAAAAGACAAGCACAAATAGCAATAAAGTTACATTAAGACAACAAGACAAGCACAAATAACAATAAAGTTACAGTAAGACAACAAGAGAAGCACAAATAGCAGTAAACTTGCAGTAAATCAAGACAAGCACAAAAAGCAATGCAGTTACAGTAAGCACAAAACATAAAGAAAGTTGTTTGTGTTCTATAAAAATTTAAACAACAAGTAAATTTAAAGACAACAATGAATAGTATGATTGAGATATATAAGTACAAACAGCAAGCAGGTCTAGGCCGATCAAGACAGAGGCAAGAATAGTAAAATGATGGTGAATTTACACGAAAAAGCAAGAAGCAATAAGTGAAACATTAAGAGAACAGCAAAAGAGCATGAAACAAAACACAAGAAAAGCTAAAGCTTCAAACTAAATAAGAGAACAGCAAAAGAGCATGAAACAAAACACAAGAAAAGCTAAAGCTTTAAACTAAATAAGAGAAAAGCAAAGAGCATGTAACAAAACACAAGAAAAGCTAAAGCTTTAAACTAAATAAGAGAAAAGCAAAAGAGCATGTAACAAAACACAAGAAAAGCTAAAGTTTCAAACTAAATAAGAGAACAGCAAAAGAGCATGAAACAAAACACAAGAAAAGCTAAAGCTTCAAGCTAAATAAGAGAACAGCAAAAGAGCATGAAACAAAACACAAGAAAAGCTAAAGCTTCAAACTAAATAAGAGAACAGCAAAAGGGCATGAAACAAAACACAAGAAAAGCTACAGTTTCAAACTAAATAAGAGAACAGCAAAAGGGCATGAAACAAAACACAAGAAAAGCTAAAGCTTCAAGCTAAATAAGAGAACAGCAGAAGAGCATGAAACAAAACACAAGAAAAGCTAAAGCTTCAAACTAAATAATAGAACAGCAAAAGAGCATGAATCAAAACACAAGAAAAGCTAAAGTTTCAAACTAAATAAGAGAACAGCAAAAGAGCATGAATCAAAACACAAGAAAAGCTAAAGTTTCAAACTAAATAAGAGAACAGCAAAAGAGCATGAAACAAAACACAAGAAAAGCTAAAGTTTCAAACTAAATAAGAGAACAGCAAAAGAGCATGAAACAAAACACAAGAAAAGCTAAAGCTTCAAACTAAATAAGAGAACAGCAAAAGAGCATGAAACA